CAACCAGCCGAAATAGCTCAGTTGGGAGAGCGTTAGACTGAAGATCTAAATGTCCCCGGTTCGATCCCGGGTTTCGGCAGGTATATTTTTCTGGAGCGATCCGAGTTTCATTTTATTTTCTTGTTGGTGATTCTTTATGTGTTTTGAGTGCTCGGATGCGGCAGGATTTTACCACTTTAAATGGGATGCTAGCATTATTAAGATCGTAGATCTTATGCTGATTTTTATCAAGTGAAATTTTAATACGATCTATAAATCCAGGCAATGTCTCCAAAAGTCTGTTATGTTGTAAACATTGCACGTCATTACCACATGAATTATAATTTATGACCAATAAGTTGGCCACGTGAACCTTAACGTGGTATTTTTAACGTTTCTTGAACTAAATTGGAACGTGAAACTTTAGAAATGTGTTTCGATTCCAATTTTGGCGCGAACGAGGTACACCGGGCTGGTAACTTAAAAAGTTAAATAGGTTGAAAGAAAAGAACATTCATTTGCCACTCACGACACCTCCCCAAAAAAGTAAAGATGTTCAAGGCTGGTAAAAAGAAAAAAATTGTATGTATCATCGCAGATGGATCAGCGGCGAACATTTCTTCGGTCACCGTTGGAACGGTTGGCAGACATTGCTGCAGGAGCAGGCGACAGTCGACAGTCATTTCACATTTTGTCGACTGCTTGGAGAAGTAATACAAACATGGCGTCAGTGAGGAGATGCACTCTGTTTCTAGGAAGGACTTTCGGCAGGTATTTTGTCGGCCAGCGGGGTTTGTCGGGGAAGGCCCACCCCCATAAGTCGAGGTTTGGCCCCCACCATGCGGGTGGAGCCCTGCTGGCAGCCGGACTGGTGGTCTACGCTGGCTCTAAGAGCTCGGACGGGCACATCTTCAAGCCGAAGAAGGTGAGCGGGAGCTGCTTGTCAGAGGAATGTTCTAAAAATAAAGCGAATGCCTGAGTTGTTGTCAGTGCAACTCCGGGTCTTTCTGTAAAGGCCAGCGCTAAGGATCCCCTGGTGTCGTAGCGCACGCGCCTCAAACCATTCGTGTCACTGGACTTTTGGTTCGCCCTTTCGGCAGTAAGGGGGTTATGTTGTCCGTTTGTTTTTATTCAGCTTTCTGACCTCATCGTTCAGGCATTTTCCTTGTGCGTCACTCGATAATTGGTCGCTGCATTCATTTCTCCGATTTGAACGCTCGTTCCACAAAACCTGTTTGCAGCATCGGGTATCACATTGCTTGCAGATTGGGGATGTGCCAAATATAGACCTGATAAGGTTTTTTATTGTTACTGATGGGTTGATAACAGACCTCATGACATTGATTTTTGAATGGAACACAATTGAAAAGTGTTACCAGTTGATTTCTAACTGTCTGAGCAATTATATCACAAAGTCTTAAAGTAGGTCAAACAATTCTTCATTGTTAATCATTATTGTTTTGTTTGCTTTATCTCGCTTCATCTCGCTTCATATCGCTTCATCTTTGGTTGCCAAATCCATTGCACTTTTTGAAATCAACACTCTCTTGGCAGTTCTGTGACAAATTGAACCGTTTAACAGTGAGTAAGTCACATCCTATTTGTCTGTAATTTAACATTACTTCCCAACTATGACGAACTTTTTGTGATTAAAACAAAATGAAAAGTTGTTAGCATCATTAAGTTTGTTTTGTTTTGTTAATTTACAAGAAATAATATTTCTTTATTCCTTTCAAATTTTTCACAATTTTGTTTAATGATGTTAATGGTAAAATGTTAATTTTCTCCAGGCTTTTTTGGGGAGTGCTGTAAATTTTGACTAGCTGGGGGAGAGTTATTCCTCAAAATGCTTCTGGGAGTGGCAGTCAGTTTTCCATCCTCAGCCGGTCATCAATAGCTCTCACAGTGAAGCCTGTTTTTTGTGCGCCGGTTGTGGTCTGATGTGGGCCAAAGACTCGGGGAACAGGCCGCTGCAGTGGGCCACTGTCTCTCCTTTGCTGTGGGACCAGTGCGGGACGACGGTGGTGGACCATTTGGGCCGTCGGGCTTCTCTGCCCCCCCTCCCTTTCTCAAAAACTCGTGCGATCTTATCAGCCACCAGAGGCCTTGACTATGAGGTGGCTCGGCGCGCCGTGCCGTGCCCCGTGTAAGCTTGGCGAGACGGGACGAAATGGGTGGGACGGGGCGGGGCGCCTGGTGGAGGGACAGGGACACTCGTATTTTATAAAAATCTTGCACTTGTCTTGTCGCAGCGTGATTTGTCGCCAAGAGGTGTTGTGTTCCCTCGAGGCTCATGAGGGACCGTTCGTTTACTACTTGTGCCAGGGTAAAAACAAACGTCTATGTGTTTTTGAGGGAAACTTTAAGGTATTCCCCTTGGTTTGAGGAAAACGCCTCAGATTTCGAGGAAGTCTCCTCAAAAAAGGGGTATTTTTCCTCATTTTTTAAGAACAGTCTTCTTCTGAGGAGTTGTTCTCAATTGGGAATTCCTCAGAGTTTTCCATTTTTCCTCAAAAAATTCAGACATGGTTTTTATCGTGTGTGGGCGTTTTGTTCACACGTTGCGAGCGAGCATGTAAGTGACTGTCCTACTTACATGGAGCGAGGTAAAAGTTTTAGTGGCGGGCGGAATTCGGCAAACGAAATGACTGAATTATGAGCAAGGATCGCCAGGCAAGGGAACATCGGGATGAATTATTGTAGTTTTTCATCGGTGGTGGCTACAACTATAGAGGCTGCGGCAAAACGCTCCCGCCGGAATTCCCTCTCCTCTAAGGTAATTACTTGCTCGTTTTGTAGAGCGGGTTTGTATTGTAGCGGGCCTTCGATAGCCCTTATATGCAAATCCTGAATAAATTCAAAACTCTGCACACGTGTGCTGTCATCGTCGTCCGGCCTACTCTGGGGAGGGGGGCATCACCATAATTGCGCGCGCGGTCACTTAATTGTTTTTATCTCATTTCCATATCGAGTGTCTCCAGTTGGCCCAGGCGGCACCGGCGCGCGTGCGTGCGCCGAGCGTCAATCACCGCAGCTGCGGATTATTGGCCAAAACTTTGATCTCTTTCACTTTTGATGTAACCTGAAGTATCGTCACATCTAAGAAGAAACCAAGAGCTTTAATTTGGTAACGAAATTTTAACTCTTTTTCGAACTGCGACGCTGGCTTCCGATGTCCTCTTTCGCAGGGAGAAGTGATATTTATTTTTGTATCAAATGAAAGCTCTTGGTTTCTTCCGAGTCATGACGACTTTAGGTTTCATCATAAGTGAACAGGATCCAAGTTTTCGGTCCAAAATCTACAGCTGCGGTGACAGACGCTCGACGCACGCACGCACGCACGCACGCGGCGCCGCGTTTACAGACCTCTGGCCACCCGCGCGGACTACCCCCACCTCCCTCTCTTAAATCTCTTTGGGGCATAGGGCCTAGCTAGTCCTTCTCCACTCTCTGACCTTACTCATCATTACTCACTTTCGAACCCGCTCGGGGTTGTCTAGGTATACTCATTGGGATATTGTACCTAGAGAAAATTGCCTTCCTGTCCTGCTTGCTAGGCGGCTCATCAGAAACGACGCCCCCAAATCAAATTTGAAATAACAACCCGCAACTTTGTCGCCTGGAATTGTCGGAACACTGAACCAGGTGGCTAACTCACGAAGCGCAATATCGTAGCTGTACTGTACCGCATGCAAGGGTGCGAGCGGGTTGCCTACTCGTACGGGGCCGTAAAGAGCTGTAAGTAGCGAGAAGATAGGCAACCCCTCTCGCACCCGTGCATGCGGTTAAACATAACTAGTTAAGCGTGTGTCAGTCACCTAGTATTCTTTTACTTTATATAATAAAACGTCAATTGTTCGTTTTATCGTTCTGTCTCGCCTGGACTCGCTGCCTGGATGAGCTTGCCGCGCAGGCGCACCAGGCGCACTGACCCGGAGCAGAGGGGAGCGGGGCGTGTCTTTGTGGAGGGGGAAACCGAGGTGGGAGGAGGGGGAACTTTCAGTACATTGTCGAGATATCATGACGCAGTGCGGCTCAACCTACCAACAATCCTCGGTAGTATAGTGGTCAGTATCCCCGCCTGTCACGCGGGAGACCGGGGTTCGATTCCCCGCCGGGGAGGATTTTTTTCGTGCCTGAGATTCGTCCAAATTGTTTGCCTCTTGTAGGTGCGGTAACTTGACACGCTGTAGTGTGTCGCCCAGTCTTCTTATGCGTTTGTGAATTGACTTGCTAATATTTGCCTCATTTATACATACGCAAGTGTGTAATAATTTCCACCTGTTCACTCATTTTCTTGGAAAAATGTAATGCATTATGTAAAAAGTGGCAGTACCCCTGGTGGGACTCGAACCCACGATCCCCGGTTCAGGAGACCGATGCCTTATCCATTAGGCCACAGGGGCTATGGCAAGAGGGGGAACCCCTCTCAACCGACGTAACCGACTCAGCCTTAGCCCGGCAAGAATGAAACCCCTTTGTTGGTGATGTGCAGTATGGCGACTATTTCGCCATCCGTAGCGGTAGTAAATCTAAATCATTTTTTTACAAAAGTGCAGTGGGACCAGCTAGGTCCTACCTTTCTAAGCAAAGGCAGCAAATATGTTAACAAGCGAAGGGAGGAGAGCAAAAGTGTGATCTTAGGCTGGACTGCCTATATAATTAATTTCAGACGCGATTCGTAAACTTGGAATTTTATTAGCGTAGTGCGCATTAAATGCAATGAAAAGTGATACAATTTATGCCTATTTGATCGTGGAATACAGCATCATTTCATGTACGCTTATTTGCACTACTATGTGCATGTCTCAATTTCAGTTCAAACCAATATGGTATCTGCGCACGTTATGTTGTGTGATTTAGTTTTTTTAAATGTTTGGTTCCAGAGAGAGGAGGACGTCTTTGCTGCTAAAGCTGTAAAATTGACATCTCGTGAACGCCGATTTATCAAATTTGCATCAGTTCAGTATGATGGTCAACTGTACATGACTCCTCAAGATTTTTTGGAATCTGTTGTGGAGCAGGAACCTCGTCGTGAGTTTTCTTTAATACTTCATCTCAGTTTTAGTTGGATTAATCAAAACAATTGATGTATTGTTCTTGACCCTTTTCATCCTTCAAATTTTAGCTCGCCTAAAGCGCCGCACTTTAACTGACAAGGATTTGGCTTCTATTCGAGATTCAACTCCTCCACTGAAAAAAGGATCAACTCAAATGTTTCGCAGCCTGCGAGACAAAGGTGAAAACAAAACAGACACTTTTGACAACTTTTCTATCCTGTTACATGTATGGTCTTTCTTATTTTGTCTTGATCATTTTCAGGAATAATTTCATTTACGGAGTATTTGTTTCTTCTATCTATCCTTACAAGTGAGCATTTAAATACAATGAGAATCACCTTCCAATTACCTACTTGTTATAAAGGCACTGACCATTTTTACTTAATCTTCCTTCATGTATTCTATTTCCAGAACCACAGTCAGGATTTCGAATAGCATTTAACATGTTTGACACTGATGGAAACGAAAGAGTAGACAAGAATGAGTTTCTGGTGGTAAGTACTAGGATTATAGGAATAGGTTGTTGAAAACTATGGTCACTTCAATCTCATTCAATTCACCAAGCACACATTTCTCATAGAAATACTTTCCAGTCTATCTATTACCTATTAGATTCCAGAATGTTTGGTTTGTATTTAGTAGAATTTTTGAATGACACCCCGAGGCATGTCGTGTATAAATAAGGGCAGGTGACAATGCCTTGGGACGCAATATGTGACTGCCTTTATTATATTAAAGGTGATTTGTTTTCCAATACCCATAAGTTGTACCAAAAGACTCCTTTGTTAAACTGAGAATAGAAAATAAGAACCTGAAAGGAACAGTTTCAATACTTAAAAATGTTGTATACCTTCTACTATGCTTTTTATTGTTTTAAAGTTGAGTAATGAACTTATTCTCTGGTCCCAATCTGTTGCATTGTGCACATATGTCCACAAATAACAATCACATCCTATCAAATCATCATTTAAGTAGTGTCTCTCAATTCCCTCAATGACGTTATTGCATGAAGCAGATTCGGAGATTATTTAGCAGTGGCAAGATTCCCAAGGACCGTATGGAAGATGAAGCAACTCGGAAGGCTGTGAGTTAGTTGCTCTGTGTTTGAGACTCACTGTCTGCTGTTTGTGCTTTTGCCCATTAATTTCTCTCTCCAGCTTTCAGCATGCTGGAACAATAGTCATTTTAATGTTTTCATTGTATAAACTGCTGAATGCTCTAACATATTGTGCTCTGAATTCAGAACCCTTTCTGTTTGCATCCTGTGCTGTTCATCACTTTCGTCTTTTACTTGTTTGTGATCGCTCTATTCACCCAACTATTTACAAATGCATTTTTGAAAATTAATGAGCATTGTTTCTAATTGCTATTTAATCATACAGCATTCATATTTGAAGATACCTCATTTTCTTTTTACAGATCATGGAAAATTCTGAAAGTTATTGTGTAAAAATATTCATGTTGAGCGGAAATACTGCATTTACTCATTATCTTTTGCGATTTAAATTTTACTTGGTGGTGCTACCTGGACTGTACTGAGGAAGAATTTTTAGTTATCTCTGTCTTTCTCTATTTCCTTGCCTGTTTTATTAGTGAAAACCACTTTGTCAGCTTTTTACTGCCCATTCCCATCTACCTTCAAGCATCCACATCATAAATCTAGTTATAACTTGTAAGAAAATATTACCCTGTCATGATTTTTCTAAATATATCCTGATGTTGATAGATGGAGAAAATCTTCAGCCATGCTTGGCGGGATAAGCGTGGTTTACCCTCCGAAGAGGATGAGGAAAAGGCAAAGAGTAAAGGCAAAGATGGTTCACCAGCTGACAATCAAGAATCCCAAGCAGAGAAAGATTATGTCGATGACGAACAGGGGCTGCAAAGACGTCATTTAGTGGACACAACCTTGACCACTCATTTTTTTGGCAAGAAGGGGAAGGATGAACTGAAATTTGAAGGATTCCGCAGGTGTGAAACATTTTTGTATCTCCTTATTTTATTAAATTATTTGTTATTATTTTTGTGACAATTAATTTACCATTTCTGAAAACAAGATTTATGGAAAACCTTCAAACTGAAGTTTTAGAGCTAGAGTTTCACGAGTTCTCCAAAGGGGCTGAGACGATTAATGAGGTGGACTTTGCCAAGATTATGCTACGTTACACTTACCTTGATACAGACAAGTAAAATTTTTGTCATGTTATTTTTTGCTGAAAGCTTACTTTACATAAAGGATATTACAATGATCTTAAAAATTTCTTGGTTTTATAGGTATGATATGTACTTGGATCGTCTTCTTGATCGTGTGAAGGATGAAAAGGGAATAACATTTGAAGAGTTCCGTATATTTTGTCAGTTTCTAAATACTTTGGATGACTTTGTTATTGCAATGCGAATGTATACTTTGGCTGATCATCCAATATCTAAAGGTAATTTCAATCTTCCTCACAAAAGCCTATTTTTCTTTTTTCACATGTATTTATGAAGTTTCTTTATTTTTGTCCAGATGAGTTTCACAGGGCTGTAAAAATTTGTACGGGTACCAGTCTTAGTCCACATTTGGTGCACACTGTTTTTGCTCTTTTTGATGAAGATGGTGACGGATTACTCAGCTACCAGGAGTTCATTGCTATTATGAAAGATCGTTTACATCGTGGATTCAAGGTAATGTCCAGAGTATGAGTTTGGGTTGGTTGGAGCTAGGTGGCTGGATAGACCTGGAATTGACACTGCCCATTAGTTAAACATCAAAATGCAGCCAGAGAGTGAAAGTAGCTTCACCTCCGATAACCAAATA